TTGTAATGAACCGAATGCCAAGCGTCTGCTGCACTCAGTGTTAAAGCACTGGGAGGGAAGAGCCTTGGTGGCGTGCACATGCACAGCTGGCCAATCCTCTGGAGAGGAGCAGACTTTATTAGCAATTCATAGCTGCTAATCTGGAGCAGTCCAACACATTTGCTAATATTTTATACTCCCCCATTCAGTGTGTGTGTGAGCACACGCGCGTTTGTGTTGCTAGAGACTGAACTCAGGTCCTTGCACACTCTAGGAAAGCGGGTTTACCACAGCTGTTGTTTATTATTTTATTACAGCATTTACATTTGTGGGCAGGCTTTCCTTTTGCCACTGTGTTTTGGGCATTACAGTGACATTGTGTTATCATTCTGAAAGAAGCAAGGAGCTAGCTCCATTCACGTTGCTAACCTCCACAAGTATCCTTGTACTCAATATCTAAATTTAGTATAACCTAGGACTGATTACTTCTAAGTCAGAAACGTCTAACTTCATTCTATGAGCTTAAAGGAATACACACTGCACCTAACTTCACAGTTACACCATTGAAATGAATCATGGTCGAGCTTCAGTTAGACTTCAGTGGTCACGCCGTAGGCTAGATAGTATTAAGCAGCTGCTCACAGGAACATCCACATAATTTAGCTAATTTTGCTACTATTAGAAAACTATTAGAAAGAGTAAATGAAACTTGAATTAGAGAAGACTTTTTTTTCCTCTTTAATTTCTGGGCATCTGTGATGTTGGAAGAATAAGACAGATATTATAGACCAAAAGTTGGGTTTTGGAGCCATCATCACCTATAGATTTCAATTAGACGTACTACCCCTCCTGTACTACCTTGGGAAACTGAAGGTTGAGAATATTAACTTCGTATATTCACCGCACCCTTGTCTAGCCAGAGTTTGAGCTTATCGCCCTGGGAACTGGAGGCGCTCCTGGCTTGAACAGAGTTACTACTGACCCTAGATTTCCTCTCCGTCATGTTCACCTACTGCCCCCAACACCAGAGAAAGTAGAAGTAGATCATAACATTGGATTTCAAAATATTAACTGTTTTTGTGCCAGGTGTGGTGGCTCACAACTGTGATCCCAAAACTGGGGAAGCTGAAGCAGGAAGAATATTGTTAGTTTTAGGGTGGCCTGGGCAACAAAGTGACACCGTATTTTCACAAACAGACACACAGACACACACACAGAGAGACAGTTCTGATTCACTACTATGTGAGTTCTTAGCTTCAGATGCTTCCTTGTCATACTCTATTACATTGTGTTCTTTCCCTGTTTACATTCTAGTTTCCATGACTCTTGCTCCTTAGAACTATGGGAAATGCCACTTTTGATTCCTGTGACAACAGGAAGAAAACAAAAGGTTCTTGATGAGTCAACAATGAAAAGTACTGAGACCGATTGCACCATCCTATAGTCCCAGCTATGGGAGGTGCTGAGTCAGGAGGTTTTAATTTTGAGGCATTCCTGGGTTACAGAGTGATGTTAAGGCTAGCCTGGGGAATTCTGTGAGCTCCTATCTCAACATAAGAAGTAAAAAGGGGGGTTCAACAACATAACTCAGGAAGCGAGCTTGCCTAGCATCCACAAGGCCCATATATAGCACCCACTACCTTGAGACAAAAAGAAATTCTAGTTCTTTTTCTGCACAATATCATAAACACATTTCCTGTGATAGTGGGGGCATTTCTTGGTTTTATCTCAAAGGAGGGGGTCAGCACCCCATGGCTGCTTTTCTGTGTTCACGTCTCAGTCACTGATCCTCCCTTGGACATCACGACATGAGCCCTGGGCTTGTATTTTAAGTTCTAGAGGCAGAAAACACATGCTGAAATACTAAACCCACCTTCCCCTTCTCTGTGGTCTGCAGACACACAATTAGACCAGACGTTCATTCAATGCAGGCCAGTACTGACTTGGTAAGTGTAAATGAAAGGTATGGGTGAGTCCACCATTGGGCTGTTTTATACAGGAGGCTAGGGAATGGAACCTAAACCAACAGGGGAGACAAATGCCATTTCCTTTGCCACAAACGTCAAGTAGAACACTGCCTTGACTGCCCTGACAAGGTCAGCTATTTCTGTAAGCAAAGGCATTCTTAGTAAAGTGACGTCTGTCTATGGGTGGACTTCTACAGATTTTAGAAACACACTGGGCTGAATGGCAGGGGAGAGCTAGGCGCAGAACACTTGCTAGATGTGTACAAGGCCCCAAGTACAATCCTCAGGACTTGAAAAACTCATCAGTTATCCAATCATATATGAAATGCACATTAGAGACATGGACCGGATGCTCTCTTCATGGTGGTTTTCAGGACACCCCAAAGTCATCAGTGTCCATCTCTGCCCTCATAGATTCTGAGGCAACATGTCTGGGTTGGGGCTACGCAGCTGTATTTTATAATACACCCCATAAAATTATTGATTCGTGCAAAGTAAAGATTCTACAAGGTCCTGGGATTGCTTATTCCATTAAAGAAACCACAAAGCTTTCTTTGTATTTGTTGTTATGTTTCTCAAGTACTCATAACTTTGGATACAGCAGGGACGGGGTAAGGGACAACATAGGTTCACCGAGGACGTGATGCACATATATTTCAGAACAGTAAGTTAGTACAGCTAGCTAAGTGTCAAATTGTTGGGGCTCTTTAGGATTCCCTGAATAGCCATCCTCACAAGCAGCTGATAGGTCCCAATAGGAATGAGAGATACAAGATCAGTGATTTAAGAAAAAAAGAAGAAGAAAGAAAAACCATATAAACTCAGGATTTGAATCCAGGTCTCCTTGTCTCCTATACAACATAATCTTGCGGAAAAAAAAAAAAGCTCAGGATTAGTGATATCTAAGACCCCTTCTCCCCCTCCAGCCCCCAGCCTTCCCCTAGTCCAGAGACAGTCTTTCTTTGTATAGATAGCCCTGGCTGTCCTGGAACTCACTCTGAGGACCAGACTGGCCTCATCACAGAGATCTGCCTGGCTGGGGTGAAAGGATTTTACTGTTTGCAGGGAAGAGGCCCTGAGAAGCCTGAAGCCAGGGTCCAATGCTACTGATTCTGTGTCTGAGACCATGTTTTCAAAATATTTTCTGCTGGGCTTTTCAAGTCCTAGGTCTATTGTACTTCTTTAAGTGTTGACTAGTGGAGACCCACCAAATACAGTAACACCTTAAATAAACCAATGTCGTCTGTGAAATGAATCCAGTCTGAGCCCTGAGGAGTTTGCGTCTCTATAACAGCAGGGTGCCTGCTCCTCTTTCGTACTTCCTCCACCATATATGCTTCGTATGTAAGATTTATGACCTAAACCAGGAGTAGAAAACCCTGACAGAAGTTTAGTAATTGGTCATTGGGGCTCAGCATTCTCATAGGTTGTGTGGGAGCAGCCGGGACTCAGAGTCTGGAAATATCCTTGACATTACACAGTGTGGGAAACAGGCCATGTCTTGGCTGAACACCTTCAGATATATGTGACATAAACCCTATGAGACTTGTTAGAAAAACTTAAACAAATCTTATCAAATAAAGCAAGTACATTGCAGGAATTTGACTAGAGATAGCCATGTTGTTCTCTGATTCCTAGTCACACACCTAAACACACATTCTTTCTAATTATGTCAGTCTTCTGTGTGATAAATATAACTGATTTTGAAAGTGTTAGAATTATTATTTTTCCTCAAATTTTCTGTATAAACATTCCTTTCTCTTTGTCTCTCATTATTTTCCCCATCAAACTTACAATAAAATGTGCTCAGATATACTTTCAAATAATCCCGTAAATTCTTATTCTTTTTTGGGACCCTTTTCTTAATCAGCCTACAAGTCACACAGGTGCCTAGTACTTCGTAGGTATGGATAAAAATGAACATTATCAGCCACAGGAAAATGCACGTGACTGCAGATAATTGCGTTAACTTAATTGTTAAATCTCAGAGAGAGAGATGCACATTTTCTTTTCATTGTTGATTTCTAGACGTCATATAGTTATGCAAGCTTCTATAAACAGAAAACTTGACTGTAGAAGCAACTGCCAGAGGACTAGAGGGGGAGGCATGGGAAGGGGAGGATGAGGTAGGAGGATATGGCCATCATGCATGAAATGTATGTTTAAGCAAACCAATGTTGAATGGATAGAACTGAACTGGTCCACAGAGTGAGACCTAGCTGTTCACAGCAGTCCTCTGGCCCCAACACTGGCAATCCCACACCAAGCCAACAATGACAGCTGTCAAGAGAGCACAGCAGTTGATCACATGGACAATTCTGGTATAAGCCAGAGGCCAGGAAGCTCATTTCTTCTCCATTGTCATCTAACCGCGCAGCTTCCAGCACGTGATCCACACACAGTTCCTGACTTTGGCTTTTTCCACTGTAAAATCAGGTTTTACCTGCTAAGATTTAGGAAGCTAGCTGAGATATCTCATGTCTGTTGTATGTCATATATATGCATGTGTACTTTTGTGCGTGTGCATCTGTGTATGCCAACATATATGAACGTGCATGTGGATGTCAGAGTTTGATGCCAGGGATCTTTCTCAATCACTTTCTAACTCGTTTTTTAAAGTATAATTTTAATTTTTTGAGGTAGAGTTTTTCACTATTTTGGGGCTATATCTGCTGACCAATGAGCCCAGAGATCTGCTGGTTTCTGCTTCCCCAGGACTGGGATTGTGGGTATGTACTTTTTATCAGGGTGCAGATGATCCAAACTTGGGTCCTGATGTTTGTGAAGCAAGCTTTTCACCTCCTGAACCATTTGTCTAGGCCACAGTTACTTTTGATAAGGTCTTCAAGTTGTGGTTGATCTTTTTTTGTCATATACAAACAATAGTTTGGCCAAAACAGACAACTTAATTTGGAAGTGCTGTGACAGATAGATGTGACAGTAAGCTGACAGTGGTCGCCAGAGTGGAAAGAATTAAACAGACGACACCACAGATTCTTATTATTATTCGGAACACTCTTAGTGATGAAGAGCATCCAAGACTCTGATTCTTACCTTTGGACTTCCGGTCATGGTATGATCTGCCTCTATAATGAGGGGTGTCCAGATACAAATTTTCTAGATCATCTTGCCAAGACTCTGGATTGAAGTGCTTAAGCAGATCTTCTACAGTATCAAATTCTGCAATTGTTTTGTCCAGAGCATCAGCAGTGAGCGTCGGGTCCATTACTGATGAAGAGTGATAGGACACCCCCTAAAAGTGACACACAGCTTAATGTACTTAGAAAGGGACCATTGCAAGAAATACAACAATCACACATATCGGGGGCCTTGAGTGACAGCCTCAGTACCCCCTCAGGGCTCAGAACAGAATGCCGACACTTCCTGTGAATTTGCCTATTGGTCTATCAGCTGTACAGTTACTGTATAGTCTTGTGGGTTCCAAGACATACAACAATACTTAAGGAAGAGTTGCTTTCTGCAGTACAATACATCATTAAAATATCATAACATTGCAATATGACACGTAATTGTCATAAAACTTTTTACTCATCTGAGCTGTGATCATTTCAAAAGATACAGGGCAAGTAGAATATAAAATTTGACATCTGATTTCTTGGTTCCTAGTCCAGATCATTCATAGTAATTAACTACTACTAATAAACTCTGAGTTCCTTTAAAGCAATTTCCAACGGTATGATCTGTTCTTTCATGCTGAGCTTCTGTGCCCCACTTCCACAATACTTCCCATTGCAGATGTGGTCTGAGATGAATTTGATCACACTCTGGAGATATTCTAATAGAATCTGGCACTTTAGCCAACTTATTTACCATCAACAAGATAATTAGCCCTGAAACTGACTCTCTGAAGAGAGCAAGGTTCACATGGGAAGCATATCGAAAGAAAAAATGCGAAAGGCCTGTTATAGCTTAACAAGGACCCCAATTGTCATTTAAAGAGCCTCAGAATATTATTTAAATGGTGAATACAATGCCTTTGAAAGACGATAAAAGGATTATGTATTTTGCCAGAAATAAAACATTCGTACTTAGTTTGTAAACACCACTAACTCTTGTACAATCTTGAGGTAAATGAGCCATGAGTCGAACATCTCTGTGAAAATTCATGACCCATTAATAGAGAAATAGAAATAACACAGCCTCAAATGATCATCTAAACATCTTTAAAGAAACTACCAAGCGACTAAGATCTCCCCACGGGTAAATATAAATATTTCCTATCATTAAAGGAAAGCGAAATTAGTGAAAACTTGTCTTCTTAGAAGGGAACTGTAAGAAATAGAAATAGCCCATGCTTCAGAGCCTCCAGCTATACACAGATGCTCCCATGTTCTCTGATTCTTCCCTATTCAGCCACCTACACTTCATAGGTCTGTTCATAAGATTTCATGATCCCCACTTTCAGAGGACTGCACTCTTGTTGGTGAAATAATGGAGTCCAATGAAATCATCTATCACTGGTGTGACTTAGGAACAGTTTCCTTTTGTGCTTTGTAGAAGGATTAGGGAGAATGTGGGAATTGGGAAGTGCAGTGGGGCAGGAGATAGGTTGATGAATATGTCCACTTTTTTAGTTAGCCCCATCAAAATAAGGAGATATTCTCGTTCTTTCTCCCACCACGGTGCTTTCGTCACCTGCTTTCAAGGCCACAGAGGTATATAGAAGCAATTGGTTATCTGGTCACTTGGTATTTGTCATGCACAACATAAGAGGGATATGTTAACAGTTTGATAAAGACACCCTCAATACTCATCTTGCTGATGATAATACACCTTCATCCAGTGGCAGACATATTAGTTTCTTCAGTTCTTTTTTAATACCTTATATTTATTTATTTTAAGAATATGAGATGAGTTTTTACAAAGCATGAGTGTATTAATATGTACCACATACATGCCTGGTGACTACAAGGGTCAGAAAATGGTGTAGAGTCCTTGGAAATGGAGCTAATCGGTCATCAACCACCACCGTGGTTACAGAGAACTGAACCTGGGTCCTCTGCAAGAACAACAGTTGCTCTTAACGGTGGAAGCAACAACCTAACTCCTGTTCCTTCAGTTGTTGACAATGTAGTTCTTTAAATTAAATGTGTGTATGTGTGTGTGTGACATGAGCTGAACTCTGATAGAGACACTTGATTTTGTTTTCTACAACTCTCTTGCTATTCACATGCTATGGGTATATGACACTTACAAGTCAGACTATAATTTCAAATTTCCATTTCCCCTGTATGGATAATCATTTGCTCCATCCCCAGTGGTTCATACTCACCACACAATTAGCCTTATATCACAGTACGGGTCTAATATCCCACAAATCAAAATGAGACTTGTAGCATTTAAAGCTTTGAAATAAAACTAGGAATGTCAATCAAACCATTTACATAGAAGTCAAAGCTTCTTATTCTAGCTCTGGGAAAAGTGGATGCAATAAGCATTCTCAGATGACTCTCAACAATGCCTGGAGTGTTGCTGTGTACCCAGATCTTTCTCAGAGAATGAACTCTTCAGGGACTCTCAGTCCTGAAATGGAGTTGGGGTGAATGGAGACAACAGTATCTCCTCTAACACTGAGCTGGAGGAAAAATTCAAACCACAGGTAAAATTAACACTTGGTCCTCTGAATGAGATTCTTGGCTGTTTTCCACATTCTATGTAGGGAGTTGGGAGACACAGAATAATAATTAAGAACACATTAAGAGAGCTAATGAATCTACAATATTTTTTTTTGTTTCTGAAGCGAACATTTTTAAAAATTTTGAGAGAGCCACTTACATGTATCTCCTTCAACTGCACCATGCATTTGGTTTCATTGAGCTTCTGTTACAAATTTATAAAGACAAATAAGAATGTTAAATTAAAATGTTAATTAAATTAAAATTACCATAAAAGCATGCCTGTTGCATAAAAAATAACCTCTGAACTAGTTTTAACAAAACGAAATATAGTTGACATAGAAATTGATAGTTGTTCTAGTAATCCATCATACGGCTCTTAATAGATCTAAAAAACAACGTTTTCATAGAGGCAGGGGACAACAAAGGGGAAGGATAAAAGAGAGTGGCGGGAGAGGATGAGAGCAAAATACACAATGTGTATAATACATAGCCTGGAAACTCATTCTCGCTGTCTACTAAGGAAAATTAATTGAAACAACAAACAGAACACTTTTGGTTCTCATGCTCTTCCAATAAGATTAAAGTCCCAGAACTCAAACCAGAAGTTTCCAGTAAATATTGACCAGGGCTGAACTTTGCGAAATCTTCCGAAGGGATAAGCCAGTCTCCCCTCTGTTTAAAGCCTGGATTATGCTTAATTAGGTAAAGGCCATGTAAACTGTTTGGCTCTGCACTGAGAGCAGGAAGAATCAGACCACCCTGAGCCGCCATGAGTGAGGTGGAAAAGAAGCCGGGGTGTCCTTCAGCCTCGGCTCTGGCTTCCAAGGCCCTTCTGGTGTGGAGTCGCTGTCATTAGGCACTGGCTGATAGGTGCCCTGCTTTTCTACTTAGCTGAGGAATGTCTCCATGATGCCCTCCTCGTTTTGATGTTCTCCACCTAACAGAGTTGCCTCAACTGAGCTAAGCATGTGGGATGCAGAACACCAACATCAGATCCTCAGTACTCTTTTCCTATCTAGTCCCCTAGTGCACTATTGGTTTTAACTTTTTGATAATATCATACATGTATAGGATGTGGTCTCACTGAGATTCTCTTATTTATTTATGAGGATAAATTACAATTTTAATTGAATTAAATTTACTTTAAATTTTATTCCTTCCCCATCCCTTCTCTTCAAATTCCTTCACTATTTCCTCAGCACTTTCCCTCCCAATTTCATGGGCTCTTACAAAAACAAACAAAAACGAAACACCCACCAAGTCCCTTAGTGCTGCCTGTATAGTCTCAGGTGCAGCACAATCAACTCAATGAGAAGCCATGCAGGTGCCTTAAGAGAACTGATTCCCTGATCTCCAGAAGCCACCAAACTGCTCCTCAGCTGAGGAGAGATTTTGTGTAGATTGACTGTGTGCAGGCCTTGTGCATGCAGTCCCAGCTACTCTTGATTCATGTTTGTAACCATCTTATCATGTCTGAAAAATACTGTTTTTCTACCTCTGGCTCTTACAATCTTTTTACTTCCTATTCTTCAAGGATCACTGACTCAGCCAGATGGTACTGTGTTCGAACTACAGGTACTCGCTTACCATGCTTAGACCTGGCTGAGAGAGGCTTGACTTTATTATCTCATATTTTAATATGGCATAAGTTCTACATGCAGGATTGGTGAAGGTAAGATCTGTTCTTCCCATGCAAAGCAGATAAGGGGCCAGCATCCTGAGAAATGGCTAAGTTTGCAGCAATAGAATGAGTCATGAACTGTTTTACGGCTGCAGGATAAGATGTGTTATGTCCCAGTCAGAGAACTGTGCATGGCTGATTTTCACTTAAGTCATCTTACTGTAAACACTGAGAGCTTCCCAGCTTGAAAAGACTCTTGAAAATGCAAAAGTTAAAAAGGAGCCAATGAAAAAGTGCCTGAAAGAAACAGAGGTGCTCGAACTGTCTGGAATTTGGACTGCAGTCAAGCCAGAGTTCTTAATGCAGTTGGGGTTCCTCTGAGGCTTGTCTGAGCTCATCTAGCAGTTCTTTCACTGGCAACAGAATCATGAATTACTCACAGAGATGGGGCCTGTGACTGATTCCCAGTTGGTCTCTGAGGCTGCTTCAGGTTGGAAATCTTCCTGGAAGGTAAAGACACATCTGTGAGTAAGTCACCCCTCGGCTCAATTCCCTACCCAAGGCTGCAACATCTCAGCCTTCCGAATGTTGTTCCAATGAAGTGGAAACAAGACCAGGGCTACATTATTAACAAGCGGATCACCATTTCTATGAAGTGTCTGCCCCCAAGAGCCCCTTCCATTCCAAACATGGAGAGCTGTGCCAACATTGTCTTGTAAATATGGGAGAAACAGGAAATGTACAGACAGAAGTTCAAATTCAACATGGCCATCAGTTGGTGTGTGACCTCGAGTGACCTTCTCAGCCTCTAATTCTTCTCTTCTTCATCTGTAATTGGCTGGGGTGTTTAAATTGCAGAACTGTTTCAGGAATTGACTGTAGTAATTATGCAATTATAATTGGCATTTAATAAGAGCTTAATACAGAGAAAGAATAATTATTGTCATTCTGGATGTGCGTTTGGTTTAAACTAGGCTCTAAATCAAGTTCAGTTCTGCCTGCTAAGCCAGTCCTCAGCAGCAACGATCTTTTCAAAGATTAACCTTAGAGGCTGTCTGGGACTCCATTAACAAATGTCAGGAAGAATGGTAGGGGGAAGACCGCTGCTGCTGGGGGACTGAAAACAGGCAGAAAACAGAGCCAGCCTAAGAAAGTTATCTCCAACAAGCCTAAAAGGATGTGTGATAGCTACTGCATCCATAGAAAGAATTCTCCTCAGAGACAAACTTAGCTTCCATTTGCATGCTGTTTTCACATTAATTCCTCCAGCACTAGCACACCACACACACACACACACTCACCACACACACACACACTCACACACACACACTCACACACACTCACACACACACTCACCACACACACACTCACTCACACACACACACACACCACAAACACACACACACACACACACACACACACACACACACACACACACACACACACACACACACCACACAGACCCATACCCACACTGGGAAGGAGAGTTGAGCCTACCATTTCTACATGTCACAGGAAGCTTCTTGTTTTAGCCAAAATAAGTCAACCTGGTAATTTTCCAGACTGAGGACTGAGTTGAGTCTGAGGCATTTTGTGAGGATCCTAAGACATATTCAGTGACTTAAGTCGAAACCTTATTTGCTTAAGTGTGCTTATTGAATGAGAGCTGAGAATCAGGTCTAAATCTCATTTGCATCTTGGAGACATGAAAGTGTATCTTTTGATCGGTCATAATGAAATTCATTTCTGTTATAAAAGTTGGCATTGAAGGAAATGTCCGCTGCTCACCTAGAGAGAACTGGATCACCTATGAGGTGGGCTCTTGACTATCCTTTCATCCAACCTCAGTGAATAAAAAGAAAGAAACAGCAAAAAATGTGAGATGTGAATATAGGGATCAGAAAGACCTATAGTAGGATGATGTATCCAAACAAGGGCAGACTGGGGCTTACAGGAACCTCTTGGAAGCAGATAAGAAGACGGCACTAGGTGAAAGGCGAGGGGTTTTGTGGAAGAATACACTGCCAGGTCTGTAAGCATGGTTTTCATCATTATAACCACATATTCTAATCTGAGTCCTTAACAGTGAAACAAGAGTTATTTAGTTCAAAGTTTTGAAAGTCCCAAAAGTCTCAAACAGGGCAGCCCTGTTTATTAGGCTACCAGCAAGGGCCCAAGGGCAGGTGACAAGACAGTGACAATTTGTGTGAGGAGAAATCACACCTTGACATGGAAGTGCAGAGGCTGGGGAACTATATCAGTTAACCTCCAGGTGACATAAGAAACTCACATTAGGCCCCAACTGTCAAAGGTCTGACTACATATTGTCACCCAGAAAACAAAGTGCCCAACACATGACCTCTTGTGCTCACACTCTAACCATAGCCAGTCCACAGCACCAGGTGCGGCAATGCCAGTCCACAGCACCAGGTGTGGCAATGTCAGTCCACAGCACCAGGTGCGGCAATGCCAGTCCACAGCACCAGGTGCAGCAATGCCAGTCCACAGCATCAGGTACGGCAATGCCAGTCCACAGCACCAGATGCAGCAATGTCAGTCCGCAGCACCAGGTATGGCAATGCCATGAGCAGTTTTCCTTCACTTCTGTGGGTAACATCTACTAATTCCCCACTTCATTGGAGTGTAGCCTCTGAAGTGAGGCTGACTCATGAGAAAACCATTTCTTCCCTCAAGGACTTTGAAATCACTAAACTCATTTGAGTTCTCTGATAAATCTCTGCTCATATAACATTGAAGGTGGCAGACAACTGTACCTGGAAAGAAGTTGGGATGACTTCAAAATTCTTCACAGACCTCGAAAGAACAACACTCACCTTCATATGGAAAAGCAAAAATCCCAGAATAGCCAAAACAATCCTGTACAATAAAAGAACTTCTGGAGGCATCACCATCCCTGACTTCAAACTCTACTACAGAGCTACTGTAATTATCAGTTCTGTCTCTTTAAGAGACAAGTCATGCCAACTCCCTCCCCATCTGCTGAGGCAGGCAGATCTTCCTTCCTGCTTGCAGCCTGCAGCATGTGTCTCTTCCTTTTCCATCTTCCTCTCTGAGAGGCAGCTTCTGCCTCTCCCCACTTCTCCCTTTTCCCCTTCTCTCTCTCTCTCTCTCTCTCTCTCTCTCTCTCTCTCTCCCCTCCCCCCTTTTTCTGCTCTTCTCCTTCTCCCTCTTCCCTTCCATAACCCACTATATAAATATCTAACCTCACTCTGCATGGTGTGCCTATCCGTCTGTCTCTCACCTGCTGCCTGGGCGAGCCCCCTTCAGAGACCTGAGGCATGGTGGCTTAGTCTCGTGCACTGTCCCTGCCTGAGACAGGCTGCTCTGTGGCCAGCTGCCTGCTCCACTTGGGGACCTATAGAGTTTCTGCCACTGCAGCCACTGGGGATCTGGGGATCTGGGGATCTGCAGCATTTTTAATTAATCCATTACAGCTACAGTACTGGAAACAGCCTGATATTGGCATAAAAACAGACAGGAGGACCAATGGAACCAAATCGAAGACCCGGATATTAATCCATACATCTTTAAACACCTGACTTTTGACAAAGAAGCAAAACATATCAAATAGAAAAAAGAAAGCATATTTAACAAATGGTGCTGGCATAACGGGGATATCAACATGCAGAAGAATAAAAATAGATCCATATCTATCACCATACACAAAACTCAAGTCCAAAGGGATCAAAGACCTCAATATAAAGCTAGCCACACTGAACCTCATAGAAGAGAAAGTGGGAAGTACACTAGAACACATTGTCAATGGAGACCACTTCCTAAATTTAACACCAGAAGTACAGACACTGAGAGTAACAATTAATAAATGGGACCTCCTGAAACTAAAAAGCTTCTGTAAAGCAAAGGACACAATCAAGAAGACAAAACAGCAGCCTACAGAATGGGAAAAGATCTTCACTAACCCCACATCAGACAGAGGTCTGATCTCCAAATATACAAAGAACTCAAGAAATTGGTCATCAAAAAATACATAATCCAATTTAAAAAAATGGAGCACAGACCTAAACAGAGAACTCTCAACAGATGAATCTAAAATGGCAGAAAGACACTTAAGGAAATGTTCAACATCCTTAGTCATCAGAGAAATGCAAATCAAAATAACTCTTAGATTTCATCTTACACCTGTAGGAATGGCAAAGATCAAAAACACTGATGACAACTTATGCTGGAGAGGTTGTGGAGTAAAGGGAACACTTCTGCATTGCTGGTGGGAATGCAAGCTGGTACAGCACCTTTGGATGTCAGTGTGGTGATTTCTCAGAAGATTAGGAAACAACCTTCCTTAAGACCCAGGAATACCACTTTTGGGTATATATCCAAAGGATGCTCAATTGTGCCACAAGGACATGTGCTCAACTATGTTCATAGCAGCATTGTCATAGCCAGAACCCGGAAACAACCTAAATGCCCCTGATATATACAGATCTAATCTACATGGGAAACAGAAAAAGACAAGATCTTGTCAATAAATTGGGAGCATGGGAGCTTGGGGACCTTGGGAGAGGGTTGAAGGGGAAGGGAGAGAAAGGGAGGGGAGCAGAGCTCAATAAAAATTAAAAAAAAGTTTCTGTACATAAAATAAAAAGAAGAAGGTGGGATGAAAAAATTTCCATGTCAAAAGACTTGGAATCTTGCATGGTAAGTAGGTTAGTTCCCAGAGAAGGCCAAGAAGTTGAATTTGGTGTCTGAGATCTGTACACAACGTACAGGCGAGAGGAGTCAGAGGCAGCTTCCTTTAGGTGATCCATCTCACCAGAGACTGAAACTTGAGATGGATTTGGGAACTTTGTCCTCAAAGAAGACAATTAAGGGATGAGTTAGAGGAACAGTGTGAAATCCAGAATGGCTTTTTAAAATTTCAGAACTAGAAATAGTTTCAGGATTTATTAGCCCAATTTCATTGTTAAAAATTTACAAAAAAATCAGTGGGTCATATATAACTGAGGGAGACATGTGGCAGGCTCTGGGATGTAGCTGCCTTTGAGTGAAGCAGGAGAACGGGGCGGGGTAGAAAGATGGACACAAGAACAGAAAGGAGTGAGGAGTGTGCATCTCTGAAGTCTTCTTCCAGAGGATGGCAGGACTTAATGAATTCCATGATTCCAATTTGTTTTCTTATATAGACACTTATGCGTTTTGTTGGTTAGTGAGATGGCTCAGAGGATAAATTGTCTAACTGTCATACATACACTGGGATCTGGGTTTGAATTGTTAGAATTGACACAATACTGTGAGGGTTCACGAGAAATCCCATAAAAAACCCCAGTCACTTATGCAGTCAGTACGAGTGTTTTATCAATAAACAGCTGCCAACAAGTTGGGGTGCTAAATGGCGACCCTGAGAGGCTTGCAGGCCCCCTTTTAAGCCAGGTTAGGGGAATTCCTGGGAGGAGAGATTAGTCTGGTGCTGACTGGTGGGTGGCTCTCTTGGTTAGTGACTTTCCATTGTCAGGGTAGGGAAAGC